GAATATTTTCAACAAAATTTTTAACAATTTAATCCTTGCAGATATAAAATAAGATGCAAACCAGATTGCATTTCAGCAATCATAACAATTTTATTTCAAAAGAGTTTTATATAGTACAAGGTAACGAAGTATTTGAGATCATTACTTAGTTTGAACTTAGCGCACAGTGGTTTTGTTCAAGTATTCACAGAATTTTCTGTTAACATTATTCGTTATTTTTTATTTAAATTTAGCTCGATTTATTTGTGTATGTACATATAACAAAAACCACATAAAACAAAGTTTCAAACTTTTTACGAAATTAAGAATTCTACAAATATTTATTAAAGGTTTAAGCTCCTTAATCAAGATTTTCAAAGTATTAGAGCATGCAGTTCTATAGTCCAGTTAACTTTAGTATAAGAAAATGAAAGTTTAAAGTTTCTAAGAAATCTTATTGATTTTTAATAATTTTTTTGGTGGCCGTTTACCTCATTTTTCCGATATAACGCAAGCATGTAAATGAAAGAAAACATTCAAAACTGTCAGCGAACAAAATAATTAAAAATCAATAAGATTTCTCAGAAACTTTAAACTTTCATTTCTTATACTAAAGATAACTGGACTATAAAACTGCATGCTCTAATACTTTGAAAATCTTGATTAAGGAGCTTAAATCTAATAAATATTTGTAGAATTCTTAATTTCGTAAAAAGTTTGAAACTTTGTTTTATGTGGTTTTTGTTATACATAAATAAATCGAGCTAAATTTATATAACAAATTAACGAATAATGTTTAACAGAAAATGTTGTGAATACTTGAACAAAACCACTGTGCGCTAAAGTCCTCCATTAGTATACTATTTACTTTCACTTATTAATAGACAGCAAAGCTTCTCTTAGTTTTTTCATCTCCTCCAATTTTTCCCTTTCTAATTGGAGTTTTTCTCTCACATTTTAAAATTTCCTCCAACATTGCCTTATCAGTTTCATCTGACGTCTTTAGGAACTCCAAAATATCTCCCTTTGCTCGTTTTCGTGGTGCGGGTAAAGCAGCTTCTTCACAGTCAACCTCCCTTCCAACCTCATTTTCTCCACTTAAGGTTTCAACTAGGGATCCAATTGACGAATCAAGATTATTTTCGTTGACTGATATGTCGGAGCGGGATCCATACAGTACGTCGAGAGTGTCAAAAACCTCCCATGAGGTAGCTGCTTCACCCGACGTACGGTTTCTCTTCTTGATCAGTTTATATATCATCGCGAGTAAAGGGAAAGATGGGATCGATGGTCTTCATTTTTTGGACGACTCTTTCCCATAAAACAGAGCGCTTCTTACGCTTCGCCCGGAAATCTGCCTCCATTGGGAGCCTTACGCTCAACAACAGCTCCTTCCACTCGTGCTTCCACTTTGCCGAACTGGAATATTAAAAATTATATATTAAATACAAATATCTTATAAATATAACAATAATTTCATTAAAACTTACTTTTCCTCGTTGTCCGCCATTTTTAACCGACTTCCAAAAAAGGAGGAGGTTATCAGTTCGTCGGAATCTTTTTTTTTTTTTTTTTTATGTATGTTACCGCATAACTTTGGACCACGGCAACCGATTTCGATAATTTTTTTTGCATCGGAAAGGTAGTGTCTCAGAGGTGGTCCCATACTAATCTGGTTAAGATCCGATCAGTGGATCAGGATATATATATATATATTTTTTTTTATATATGAGAGTTGAAGTCGGTTTTTTTTTTTGCTAAAATTATATGCTTGTGCATCTGTATTGCACCCGTTTTTTTACTGATACTTTTATTGCTTTTTCTTGCGTATCGATAACATCAACGATACTTTTAGGAACTCGATACATCATCAAAGATTTCAGGGTTGCGTTTAAGAACATGCTGCTTTGTAATACAAAGCAACAGGCGTCTGGAAAACGCCCTAAAACTATGTTCCCATTGGCGTAATTTAGAGGTCAATCTTAATTTACGCATAAATTAAGTACAAACTAAGTAATTTCGCCTTGTAATGTCTCTCAGTAAATTAAGATGAAAGTACGTAGTTTATCTTAAACCAAGAACCAAATCACGAACAAATCAGTGTCGGCTCTAATTTTATCGATAATAATCGAAAAAAGTATTGTCCCACAACTGATATGTCATTGTGTTTGGACGTTTTTGTTTTTAATAATCGCGCATGGAAGTTTGTAAAATATTTCCATAAGCTTTCTCTTTTGATCACTCATCTAAAATCTAAAAAATTACCACAAACAACTCAGAATATAAAAATATACGCATTTACTCACATTCGCGATCTCTTTTCGTTAAATAAACAATAACACAGGGTTGCTACAAAGCTGTCAAGGCAAATAAAGAAACGCGTGTATGAACGCACTTAATTTAGTGAGGTATTTTAAACGAAACTAAGTATTTTATGTTGGTAATGTGAACATAGTTTAAGTCTTGAAGTTGATTACAGAAATGTATTGCAGTAGATTTCATTAATTTTATTTGTTTAACTTTTTTTAATAAAAGTTGTTATATTTATTTGGTGAAACGATTTGTTTCCTTCTTTGTTACATTTAAAAGAATTGCGTTAAACTAGCAATACATACATACGTATATGGTGGTAAGAGTTTCCTAAAAGGAAACGATAAAACAGGAACAGTCGTGAGAAACCCAGGTCAATATCTGCTGGTAGGTCTGGTTTGCGTACACTGCTTTGCTTTTCCCTTAGCTAAATAGACACTTTCAAATTACACTCAGAAAAAGGTTTAGTTATAATTACCAAGATTTGGTTATAGTGACCAAGTGGCATAGTTGGATATGGCGAAATAAATATCTAGTTCACGAAAGTCTGCAATTTACTTGAGACTTCTAGTTGGGACAAATGTATATTGGTTAATAATTATGACTACGTTGAGTGGACAATATTTTTAGTTGAATAAAATCATTTTGAAGCAAATATAAACAATGCTTTGGTTGATACAAGTTTTCAATTAATTTTGTGAACTTACTGTAGACTTGAATCAGCTAACCGTTTATTGTTGGGAAAAAAGTTTCAGTTTGACACAAATAAAAATTTACTCGATGGTTGTTGTGTTTACTTTCTTCTTTTATTTGCATATATTAAGCATAAAAACTACATACATATTTACATAAATAGCTACTAGTGTAAAAATAATACATATGTATATGGTGGTAAGAATTTCCTAAAAATAAACGATGAAACAGGAACAGTCGTGCGAAAACCCCGGTCAATATCTGCTGGAAGTGCTGGTTTAAGTATACTGCTTTTCTTTTTCTTTGGCTAAATAGATACTTTCAAATTATAATTCACATGAATTATATATTCACTAAGAAACCCCGGTTGGCATCAAACTTTATATTTTTAAATAACTATGCGCACACCGAAACCACTCGCGGCGATGGCAAAACTGAAACTGAGACAAACAAGTCTGGGCATGTCATAGCACACACTTTTCTTTCTCTACCTAGCGTAGTGATCGGAATGCCATAGCTTACTGAGCACTCTGTGACCACACGCGTGTTTCACCCATATACGAACAGCGGTAGCGGAGCAATGATTTCCACGCACACAGTCTCATTCATTGAATCGTTTTTATGCAACGGTCGGCATACTAGCACATTCAAACGCTTCAAAAAGTGGGACTGTGTGCATTGCTTAGCTGGCGCTCTTCGTATGTGAAATACACATGTGCTCAGAGAGCGCTCAGCATTATTTAGGGGTGGCTCACAAGCATGAATATGTTCCGCTCTCAAACCAAATCGTGGTTGCCTCAACTAAGATTTGGTAACTATGACTAAACCATGTGTTGAAAGAAAACTTATCTGTATTAGCAGAGCTTAATGACATCCATTTATGAACCAGACGTTAAGTTGTATGGAATTTGTAGAAATATGCAAACCCAACTAAATTAACGATTTGGTTCAACCTAGATGAATATTAGAAGCTTTAATATATTTACATAGTTATAGTTATCAAACTATGGTAACAGTTCCCAATCCTTGGTAACAGTTCCCAAGTGTTGTCAAAATTCGGTAACTAAATATATTTTGTTGTCGAAACTAACCGTTTTTCTCAGTGTATTTGTGTTAAACTCAAACTTTTTATTCCAAAAACAAATGATTAGCTGATTCAAGTCTACAACAAATTCACGCAAGTAATTGAAAACTTGCATCAACCAAAGCACTGTTTATTTTTGCTCAACAGTTATTTAATTCAACTAACAATATTGTCAAATCAAGATAGTGGTTTTGTAATTATTAACAAATATACATTTGTCCTAACTAGGAGTCTCAAGTAAATTGCAGACTTTCACCAACTAGAATCTTGGTAATTATAACTAAACCTTTTTCTGGATGTAGATGACCATAAAGTCAAATTCAAAACGGTCATAACGTTGTACATTTCAAACAGACATAATGCCCGCTGACATGATTCTAGGGTGACTGACTCAGTTCGTCCAAACCGGTTTCAACCGCAAAGAGACCAGGTAGCTAGTGAATCGAGAGAGGTGTCTATTAGATCTCATAATGTCTGGGGGAACTTAACCTGAACCTCTGCCCCATACGCTGCAACAGTTGTTCCACAGTTGAAACCCGTATAAGCGAAGAGAGGACTACGCCCCGGTTGGGTCCCCCTATCTGGAGTAAGGTGTTAAAAGCCCCTGCTATGCCGGGAAATGCTACTAGGATATATTCCTTACTTTCAATTGATTGATTGAAAGCCTTCTTGGCGTTAAGTCGTTTGGTTTAGTATGAACGACCCTACCTGCTTTTCTACTGGTTGCCTATTTGAGGGCGATCACAGGCGAATTAGTTCATTTAGCTAAACTGAGAAAAAGTTTAGTTACGCCAATTAAATATGTTTCTCTCATCACATGATTTGGTTCCAGTTACATTATTTTGTTACAGTTACCAATTTTGTATTGAGAGAAATATATTTATTGCGGACGATCGAGCAGAAATTTTCCCAACAATCAGTTGATTTTACTCACCTCCGACGGAATTATGACGTAAGTTATAGACTCTATAATGCTGGACTCTGGTGTCGAACTCAAAATATCCGTTTATTGTTTTTAACTGTTGATTCACGTCAAAATTCTCGCAAGTCGTAGGTGAGACGGTCTCCGCAATGAGAGGCTCGACGAAACTGTTCCACAAATATCAGACATCTGTGTAAATACACCTGCGACCAAGTGACATTCGAATTAATATATTTCGATGTGTCTGTGTAACTATATATGGGTGAATGATGCGCCAGCCTTGGTTGGCTTGCCTTACGTCCAAGCAGCTGATCGAATTGATGCGTTATTCTACGACTATCCTTACTTCACAACACTTTGAAACAATTGAGTTTGATTTCTTGTTATTTTTTGTCCCTCCCAACGGCATTAATTCTACATTCGCACTTTTTCCTGTCCCGACTTTTTTTCTTTTGTCCACATCCGTTTGCGCCTCGTTTTATTTGAAGCGTGATGATTCTAGCAATCCTTGACATCGGCTATTCGTCTGACTATGCTGCGTTGGTTTCCTTTGTCATTCCCAAAACCCAATAAATTGTGTATTAGTATACTTTTTATTTAAACTTTTTAATTAAACTTTTTAATTAAAAATTCATTCTAAACTACGTAGATCCACAGCAAACCAAGCTCCTATTACTAAGCATTGAAATGTTTGTTGAGCACAGTTTGTTGTTGCTTTGTTATTATTCCGTTTTAGATTTCTTTATTGTTTCTTATTTTGTTTAACATCCAAAATTATCATCGTCGCCAGTTGGTCTTGCGAAAAGGGAGCGAGCGTACACCAAACAACGAACGCCGATACACTCACTAGCAATCACTAACGACAACGACAGCGACGACGACCGAGACTGCGACTGCGACGTTGAATACGAACATAATCGATATATTTATTTTGCTATTTGTTGCCGTTATTTTGTTGCTGTGCAATTTTCTATAGCTATAACGACTGCAACTGCGTGCAGTTTTCTTTTTGATTTGGTTGCACAGTTTGTTGCTGAGCACAGGCTTATGTTACTACGCTGAGTTGCATACAGGCACACACATGCATCCTTTACGCCATTTAATATGGCCATATGCAATTGAATGTACAAATGTACATGAAGGTGTGTGCATGTATGTATATACTATGTATGCGCCTGTGTGTTCAGATGCTTCTTTGTACACGCATTCCACACGTATATGTGGGTACGTCCGATGGGGTTAGTGTATGAGTGCGTCCATAACAGCCTTGCTCTAATTATTGATTATATTTCGCACTTTTCATATTTCACTTACTTTAACTGGCTATTTTTCACAATTTTCGAACATTTGTATTGATAAATTTGATAATTTCGATTTTGATTATGTGCATTTTATTCGTTCGTAATTTTGGTAAAGGCTATTTTGTTTTCCCTTTTCAAATATGCTGTTATTTTTCACTGATTCTACTTGGCAGCGAACACCTTAGTTTTTGACCCCATGCAACATAAACTCACAACCACGGTTGCCATATTTGTAACTTTGGTACCAAAAGTTGTACATTTTTTCATCGATGGTACATTGGTACCGTTTTCCATAAAATGGCACTTTTTTAATCCAATTAGTAAATTTTAGTTTAAGTTTTTCATGAACAATATTTTACAGCTTTAAACTAAACGTTAAATAGGTGGTAAATACATAGCATACCCCGGTCCGACGTACATATTAGGGATGCCAAAATATCAGGAAAATTGGGATCCCGGGATTTCGGGATATTTTTTAGGTAATCCCGGGATCCCGGGATTTATCCCAGGATTCAAATTGAGTCATAAATTTTATGAATATGAGTAAAAATTCAATATCTGAAAGCATTTAAACATACCATGAAATAAAACTATTTAAAATTTACGATAAACTGATTGTAAAACTCATATATCGCTAGGGGTATTTTAGTAAATGAGCGATATATTTATGAGAGGAAACTCATTACTTTTGTGTTAACATCAACTTAAAGTTGTTTTGTTAGTTTTCTACATATCTACTTTTACTAAATATACTTAGCAAATATTAATCTTTCTAGTGCCGTTTTCTAAAGTAGCTTTTAAAAGTTATCTGGCCTTCAAACACATTTTTTTAGAACTAAATTTGTGTTTAAAGGCCAGGTAAACTTAAACATTATTTGAGAAAACTGGCCTTAGAATTTGTATAAAAAAGAAACTGGAAATTTTATTGGTACTTTAAAACAAATAAAATAATAAATACGCAAAAGTTAAACAAAGGGGTTCTTTTTATCGAAAATGGTATTTTTTTTATACAATTTTATTATTATGTATTATGTAATACATTTTTTTTAAGTGTCAACCGTGCTAACATCATCATCGACAGTGTTGCCAAGATGTTGTAAAATCACAGAAAGTACGTAAAATTCATTGCGAAAACCAACTCGGCGTTTAAAATTTTTTTGAAGATGTAGTCAAGCCAATAAATTGATTTGGGGTGCTGTTGAAGGAAATTCATTTGAGTTGCAATGTTCATTTATATTTTTTTTTCTGTTATCAACTAGAGTTAATCATACACTTTCCGCAATTTATAAATTTTTCGTACCTTGAAAACTGTATCACCCCCTATTCTGCAACTCTTTCGTATAGACGTAAATCGATGTGTGTTTGCAGGAAATATTAGTGGTGCTCATTTAAACAGATAAATTTTCCTTCGCATATAAGTATATTTTTATCCACTACTTTATATAAAGAGGTAAAACAGAATCTTTGTTGCCCCTTATCGAGAAACTTGGGTCCGGTTTAGTTATTTGTACAATGATTTTCGGTTGTTGTGTCCAAACGCATAATCCGAATCCAAAAACTTTAACATCACGTGTAATCAAAGGATTAAAATTTTATTTAAAATAAATGTTTCAAATTACCGAGCACTACCATATTAATAAATTCGGTTTGCACTATGCACTTTTTTGCGAATTTCGACATGGGTTCTGCGCAAAAATACTGTGGATGGCGTAGCCGGAGTGATGTGCACAAGTAGTGTTGTATACCTTTGACATGCGGAAGCCCTTCTTCTCCGGCAACACAGAAAGGAGAATTCTACTTAGTAAGGGTTATAATCCCTAAGCGCGGCCGAAGGCAGAAGCAAGTGCAACAGGTGGTGGACCTAACAAAGTGCATGTCTTCAATGGCTTGGAAGAAGCTGTTATTTTAACTGGATTGAGAACCAGTTCTTCAAGCATAGGAGTAGTTCTGGCTTTTGGTTCAACAATTCAACTAGAAGCTGACATAGACGCGCACATGGTTACTATGCCCGACAGCTCCGCGTATCTTTGTTAAATCATTCCCATAGCGCGCTCTTACTCCGCTGCTATAATTGCAAATGCAATAGAATCCACCGTTTCCTTCAAAATATGTAAAATCAAACTATTTTACTATAAATAAGCGCTTCATGAGTGTTTTTTTTAATTCCTTTCCACTTTGTTTTCCTTCATTCAGCTATCTTCGAAAAACCACTGATAACTGGCAATGCTGCACATGTTTCAGCTATCTTCGAAAAACAACTGATAACTGGCAATGCTGCACATGTTTCCGCAAGGGTTGCAGCATGTGGATTTTTCGTTTTTCGTAGCGTACCTACGAATTACGAATTACGAAAATTCGGAATCTAGAATAATGGGGTATATAAATTTTTGCCAATTCCAAAAGTGGGCATCAAAAATCTTTGGTCAATTAAAAATAGCATGGTTTATTAATTTAATGGCAGCGCATTATTTTTGTTAATTTAAAAACCGGACATTCATTTTAAGTCATACATTTTGGGTAAAATGAAAACTGGAAATTAATGTTTGGCAATTTTTTACTACTTTGAAAACTAGAAATGAGTTTTTGGCAAAGTGAAATTGTTTAGGAATTTAAAAACTTGGCATACATTTTTTTGTAATCACTTAGCAATGTTGCCAGATTCACAGTTTTAACTGTAAATTACAGTTTTTAGGCAAGTTTGCAGTTGTTTGAATTACCTCCTAGTACAAATTACAGTTTTTTCGGAATTTCCGATCTGTACGAATAAATTAAGGTGACAATGAAGGAGCAGCGTTTCCTGATTTGAAGCTGTACTCTGTATTTTAGTCGCCACAGCAAGTATGGAAAGAATATTTTCCCAAATCAAATTGAATAAAACAAGTATATAATAAACTAGAAACTCCAGGACTATCTGGTATTTCAAGAACTGCAGATTAAAAAAAAACACCGTGGTCACTTTTTTCTGCAACACATATTATGCCATTTAAATATATTTTAACTGAATATTTTATTAAAAATACCTTTACAAACCTATTTTCCTTACTAGCGTCAATTTTTGTTTACTTTAACATTTGACATTCCTCCTCTTATTCGCAAGTATAATCGATAAAACTAGGTTGGACACGAAAAGGTTATCGGTTTAATCTGAGATATTTTTAATTTTAATTTTGCACGGCTAATCTCTTTTTCTAATAACAGATTAGGGAGTTAAGCTCGAAAACTAGGATAATCTTCTCATATGTAAAGCTATTATTAGGCGATTCAGTTACATACATACAAATGTAGGTTAGGTTAGAAATTAAACATTAATTTCACTTAATTTTATTCAATTTGCTGATTTAATTTTTTTTATTCATTTTCATTTTTAATTCTTTTAATACATGAAATTATCGGTATGATTGATAAAATATGGTACTTGTATATACTTGTGACTCAAGGGCGTTAAAATATCTTGGAAACACCGCATCAGTTATTGTTTTTGAGCTTATAGTTTGAGCATTTCTATTTGTAAATATTCATAGATTTAGTTTTTCTTTTCGGAATATAATCTGTGGTTCATGTAAATGAGACCGATTTTTGGGAGAGTTGTGTAGAGATTGAAGTTGCAGGATTTTACCCGATGCTTTTTTGCTCCGTACGTTTTGCTGTTACTCACTTTTTACACTTCAGAGAGTGATTTTGCTGTTTGACCTTTTTCCAGGATTTTACACGAAAAGTATTGGATCAGAGCTATTATATCATCCATACATATGCATATTATACATACATATATTCATGTATGTTCATCAGTTATCAATGGTCCCAGTTAAAATGATTTCAGTACTTTTTTAAATTTTTGCCTTGCTTTTTTATCAAAATAGACTACTAAACCTATACCTAAACCATCTACGAATATCAAAACCAGGACATGAATCACGTATGACGACAATCGTCTGAACGATATCGTGTCGAGATTGTCTTGCTTCATAAAAATCAAAAACTGTTTGATCGTTTGTGTGATATCGTCAACTCGATTCCAACATCGTTTTGTCAGTATCGTTTGAACGACTATCGTTTCAAAGTTATGTGATTCATGCCCAATTACAACAAATGAGTCCATACATATTTATGTACATACATAGGCACAAAGCCGTATGCATGTGCGGAGTTTAAATAATCGGAAGTAATAATCAATTGTATTGCATTTCCTCTTAACTATGCATATGCCTAAATGTATGGAACCATTTACAATACCAAGCAAACACAGGGTGCTTCTAATGAAAATAAAAATTTTATGCTGAAATACGCATGCTAAGCCCTTCGAAATTTTGTGATGGGATATGCGTTACAGCTTCGCAAATTTTACCCCTACCGAGACCAAAGATGTATACGCATCAAAAATCCTTCTGGTGTACAAAATTTGAGGTATCCAATCAAATACTCAGAAAGAAATTTACCAAAAATAATAAAATATTTTTTATTTTTAATATTTTTAAGTCAATTTTTCTTTAGTTAAGTATAAATTAAGCAGTTTATGTTACATTTTTTATGTGATTATATTTCTGTTATTTATTTGTAATAAAATTAATTTTAAAAAAACTCCTTTTGTTTTGAAAGTTAAAGTTTTTGGTAGAAAATACAGTTTTTTTCTGGAAATTTACAGTTTTTTGAAAATGGTTAGGTTAGATTAGGTTAAGCGAGCAGCTCTGAAAATAGTTCACTCGGAGGCCACAAAGGTCCCTTGCGATGCCCAGGGGGTTTCCCCATGTCTATCCCTACATGTCTTCGAACCATCTTGATTCTCTAGCGAATTCAGTGGAGCTTTCCCTCTTTAAGAAGTGGTCTTAGATCCCATTGATTGATTATATAATTCTGTAGAGCTTATAGAGATCCTTGGCATTCCTGGGCCCATTTTGAATTAGTCGTTACCGAGCGTAAGGCCTGCCATCACCTGAGAACAACGTAGACAAGTTTAGACGGAGCTAGCACTCTTCAACGCCCGCTGTGGTGTAGTGGTA